GGTTGTAATAGTGCTATGTTTTTAAATGCTAATAGTGCTATGTTTTTAAATGTTAAGCAGACCATAGTTTCATCACTTTCTTCTCTAGTTGAATACAAATATATTATTTCTTTGGTATGCCATGTAGTTAATCTAGTCCAACATCTGGATCAGTGCCCAAACCTAAACAATGACTGACAGTGATATATAAATCTCTCTATAAAATAAACTTATCCCATAATGCTGAGGAAGCATGAGAGATTCTAATCCTTTTCTTGGGTTGACCACATAAATATTTCCCATATGAACTGTATCATCCAAAATATCAAGACATGTTACATGTGATCAGTAGACTTCAGAATAACCATGAAGGAAAGTCCTTCACAGTTTTTTGTTGGATGATTCTTTTCAAGTCTATAATAAAATATGCTGCATGTTAAAATCCTGTCTTATCTTTAAGACAGCGACTTATGGTCTTAATAATTTTAAATATTGATTTGCTAAAATGATGAAAACAAAGTTCTTTTGGTAACTGAAAGAAAAAGTGATGAAAATCATCAAAATCTGTGGCAAAATTAAAATGTCTAAGCAATGGATTGGATGCAACTTAATATCCTTAGAGTACGTTTATTAAAATTAATGGACTTAGTCATGTACATTGAAGTTCAGTTGATTATTCTAAGTCTGGATCAAAGTGTTTTTTCCCTTCATATCTAAATACTTTGCAGGATCTTTCTTGAAATGTTTTATTGATAATTTCTTTTTGTTGTGGTTTATATGTCACGATATCATTAAGAAAACAAGTTCAGAAGTTCACACCATGTGTTTAGATCTGCCTTATTCCTATTGTATAATTTTTGTTTCACAAAAGTGTAACAAACAGAAAATACTTGGCAAAAATATTCAGACAGGAAATGTTAAACTAAAACACAAGACATTTAACTCATACACTTCCATATTCCCTCTTCTAGTCCTTTAGCTTACTTCAGTAGACATTCAAAAATAACTGTATTTTAAAACTGTTAGTTTGCATAATATGGCCTCATGACTGAGTTATCCATATTAAGTGAAATAATTTTTGATTGCACAGGCAACCAGATGTTTTGATTGGATCTGGCATTTTTATCCATCTAACAACCTTGGATAAGCATATGTTGTCTGATAGTGTTAAAGGTATAGTCGAGGGTGTAAGCTGTTGCAAGTAATGCTGCCTTTTGCAATTGACTCATGGTGATTTTGTCATTGCTGATGGTGTTCAAGAAGTGTTGCAGATGTTATGAGATTGCAGCCAAGGTGCATATATATTTTTACGCATATGTGTGTGTGTGTGTGTGTGTATAGTGTGTGTGCGTAGTCAGTCTGTCTGATCATCTTGTAGCAGCTAATTAGGTTGTCCACTGCAACAATGTCTATTCAGCAATGTTTAGTCTAAAGACAGCAGAAGAGTTTTTCAACTGGTACTCCAATATTGCAATACCATATTTTTCATATCCAGGATCAAGAATTTGGATCCTTAATCCTATATGTAGTATCTTTATACATAAAGATTATATATATATGGAAAGTTTCTACTTACAGTTATAATAAATAACTGGATTTACATACTGTGACAAATGCTATGTAGTTTGTTTGATTATGTGAAGGCAAGCATAAAATGATAGTGTATCGCTTAGTTTAATGCATAAATTCAGTCAGTTGGTATTATAACCCTAATTACGTCTAAAAGAAAACATAACCTCCCAAAGTGTATGAATCCAGCCAATAGAAACTTAGACCTGGAAATATAATCTCAACTACACTTCTTCAACAGGATCTGATAGCAGAACTGGAAAACCACGTGAAAGTATCTAAGCAGATTAGTCAGAATCCCATTGGATTCTGGCAGGCTCTTAAATATACATTCACAGGAAAGGTCTTATACAGATCAAAGACAAAAACAAGCTTTGGGGGTCACATTCCCAAAATAAATGGAGAATAGTCACATAAATCTAAGTTTTAAATTGCAGAGCAAAGTAGATAGAAGTAGTTCAACAAGCTTTCAGTACCAGTCATGCCTGAAACCCCAGATTTTTTCAGAGACCATAGATGTCCAAGCAGGATGCTTAGGAGATCTGCTGAATCACCAGTTCTCTTGGGAAATTTAGATAAGAGAACATGCTGGAGATTTGGCAACTTTCCTTCTCACACAGGCCAACAGTGTGCTGGGAAAGATTCTAAGCAGATGCAGTCCCATGACTGTCATGAAAAGTTTTATAAGGGTTTGTTTCAAAGCTTTCTATCTTTAAATAAAAAAATGAAAATATCTTATGGCAGTTTTTTCTCATTCATGTAAAAGTAAATATATTACAGTAAGTAACGTTTCACATTAAGCAGAAAGAAAATTACTGGAACAGGCATTAGACTGCATTCTATATTTATCAAAAGCGACTATTTTAGTGTGCTTTTTGCTTTGTTTTTACAACCATTCTTCCAAAAATCACAGAATCTTGAGATATCTTACAGACTGAAAAATAATAATAATCGCCTACATTTGCATGGATTGGGATTCACTTCATCCCCAACTTTATGTCTCCATTTTCACTTCAAACAGCCACCATAGATAAGCATTAAAACATTTATTTCAGCAGTGTTTATTCAGTAGACTCATGACCAGGAACTTGAATATTATCAGATCACTACATAAGTAGTTATTCATTTTAAAGAATCATCATTAATACTTTGGGAAGAAATGCAAATATATGAGTTATAACAAATTCTATTCAGTGACTGGCTATTTGCTTGAAGTTGCTGTACATATTTTTGTTCCGACTTTCTACTTGTATATGCAGTCCTTTAACTAATTATTTGTTCTACACATTTGAATAAATTAATCCTTTCCTATCCATCAGCCTCCTGTGGATCTAGGGTTCTCAGTTCTCCTTCTGCCAATCCTACTGATACTTTGTCAGAAATTATCATGATTGCTGTTACACGATGTTCATGAAACCAGTGGAAGGTTCTGTTAGGAACCTCAACTTCAAGTGCTAGCTTCTGTCACAAAATTTAACTGTCCAGTCACTCTTTCTTAACTTGAACACCACATGTGCTCTTCTATAGATAAAGCTGAAAGATATGATAAATATATAGGAGCTCTTGAAGGAAAGGTGAAATATAACTAAACAATCAATGAAAATGAGAGGGCTAGCAAAGGAAGCTGATGTGAGTCTTAAAAGGAGCCATCGTATGCAGAGGCACTATATCACTGAAAATCACATGCAACAAAAGAGCGAGGGGGGGGGGCATCAATGATAGGTGATGCCTTTATCTCATGCTGGACTATAAAGATTTGATTTGAGTCAGCAGGACAGTTTTTTATATTTTCAGTGATATCAACTACAGCTATCTACTAACCAACCATCCCTAATCTTTGCATATAATGAATTCCAACTAATAAGAATGTATCATTCAGACTTCTTTATACAAATCCATGTTGAAATAGCCACTGCTTTTTCTTTTTCTTTTTATCCACTGCATTTCAGCCAGCAATGTCTTTTAATACTTCTAATGCATGATATCAGTGTTGCATTCGTCCTACAATTGTGCTCATTCTGTTAATTTCTATAGTGCATTTTTCCTGTGTCACTAGGTGGCAGAATTCCATTATCACAGCTGTGTCCCAACTACAATTACATTCAAAATAGAAAGCTCTTTTTTATTGGTTTTCCAAAAGAAAATTTACTTTCAGAATATGAAATACTTAATGATAACATTCTTTTGATATTAGTACATTGATTTCATTAACCACTCATTGTCAAAGTACCAAAAGAATTGGCACTTTCAAAATAAAGGAAGAACATGAAAGACAACTGGTCCTTGATTTTAAAAGGTAGTTGCTATAAACTTTATTTTCAATACTGAAAGTGAACTGATATAAAACGGTTCAACAAAATATTACAGTAAACTTTGTCCTGAAACTACTATAATATATCATGTTCATGAATCATTGAGAAGACAATGAAAACATCTCCTTATTCCTTATTTGTTTCTTAATAAAAGCAAGCTGTATAATAAAAATAAATTTCACTGAATGAAAGTATCTGGATCTTTATATATGCACAGGACATATATGCATCTTTTGCTTGAGTATGCAGAGCTAATATGCTGAGATTTACTTGGTTGTGCACAATGTAGGGCTGCTGATTCCTAAATTCAAAATTATGATTTTTTTAAAAGTAGAATGATTCTGGATTATTACTTAGACTTGACATATTCAATGTTAGTCACACCTCAAATGTTTTGCAAAGGTTATATTTTAGAAAGCTAAGATCTTCATTAAATCTGTTGTTGTTCCATTCTTTTGATATTAGTACACTGGTTTCATTAATTACTTATTGTCAATGTTTTTTTGTAAAATACTATTGATTTGGGTTATGCTATTGGAGGATTTTAAAGCAATTAATTAGAATTCTCATATCCTTGTTATTTTGCTTTCACCTATAAAATACATATCAATTTGTCATCAATAATATTTTAACATTGTTAGTTTGCATAAAATGAGACAATAGCCTCTTGACTGAGTTGTCCAAACTAAGTGAAAGGTTAGGTGCAATTTTTCCCTTGCAGCTATAAGTTTACTTCTTTGCCAAAACTGGAAGAAAAAGTATCACCAATCTCTCATCAAATGAGATTCTGCTCATTCAAAACCTAGTGCTTACTGCAGTGTGTCCTTTCAATGCCATTCAACAAGTTCAACAGAAGTTAAAATTAATCGTCATTTCACCACACACACACACACACACACACACACACACACACACAGAATCTCTTTGTACTTTCCAAGGTATCAAGGTAGGAATATTTTAAAAAGATAATTTTCTTAAAAAGGGCATATGATAATACATTTGAGGAAATTATGTAAGTACTCCAAGTGTTCTAACTATCAAATTATACTAACCATAGCTTTTATTTCCTTCTCTTTCTCTACACATATGTACAAATACATACAGATTAAAACAGGAAGGGAGATAGTTTTATTTTCTTACCTTGGCAATCTTCAAAGGCTGCTTTTCTTCCTTGCCACCCTGAAGCCTGAAACCCCAAGGTGCCCCTCCAGTCATAGTGATGCAAATATAATCCTGTACACCCATTATCTTTCTGGGAGAATCAGTCAATGTTCATTTAAAAAAAGTATCTTTAAAAAATCCTGCAGCTGGAGATTTGCAGCTGGACTTTGCCTTCTAGATGGTGTTAGTAAGGAGAGAGAGAATCACTGCTGTTGGTACTGCCTGTGTTCTGCACTTGGTTAACACAATCATTGACTGAGAGCAAGGAAGCGCTCCCAGTCCAAGGGATCAGCCCACTTTTTCGTCAGATTTGCTGTGCTCAGCCCACCTTCGTGGTAATGTCAGAGGAACACAAATGAAAAGCACTCGGCTGTGAGGCAAAAAAAGGGCTATATTTAAATCTAAGAGCATTTGCCTGTGACAGCTAAATCAAAACAGCCAGGTCAAAGGACTTGTTAATCTCCCTGCAATGATTTAAGACAGAGAGTTTACTTTTGTAAGTGGTACCAGACTTGTTAAGCTATAGTTGCAACATATTCTGTGTTCTCATAACCCAAACAAAGTGTAGGAGGGGAAGAGGGAAAAAGTTGTCTTCCTCCCCAGTTCTTCATCAGATACTACCATGAAGCATCCCACTGAGAATTACCCACAGACCCGCTGTGTAGGATGTTTACAATTATCAAATGATAGCCTGAGTTTTTGACATATGCCTGGTTCTTTCTGGCGTACATTTTCCAGTGCCTGGATTCACACCCCACATGTTAAGCCATGGTATGTTCAAGGGATTGGCTGGTTTTGAACTATGAACTAAGCAATAACTCATGTTTTACAAAACTCAATGCAATGCAGTAAATCAAAACCAAAACAGTATATTGTATGAATCTGGCATATATGTTCCTTTCCCCATTGTTATGTGTAAACGCTACAATTTGTATTATACTCATTCTTCAATTCTTGTGGCAAGTTCATATTCCCACCTGATGCAAATACATGTATTGTGATTTCACCATGTATATTTTTGTTTTAAACAACATAGTTAGTAGTGGACATTTATTTTTGGAGATTTGAATTGCTTCAATATTTATTGGAGGACAAACGGTCAAGCATGATGATGCCAGGAAATTCTTGCCTTATGTTACTGACAAATTTTTCCTTGTCAGGAAAAAGAAAGTAACAGGGGAATCACTTGATTTGATAATAATCAATAGCAAAGACTTCATTGAGGAAGTAAAAGTAGAAGGAATTTTAAAAGAAATGTGTTATGTAATGCTAAAAAGATTTTAAAACAAAGTTTAAGATGAATAAAGACAAAAAAGGAGGAAGAAGAGAAAGAGATGCTAAAACCACAAATGTAAACAAACTGAATGAAAGAAAAGGTGGAAAACAACAGGAAAAACAAATATGGCTGGAAAACTAAAATGAAGATCTTTTTAAAAATATTTATTTTAAAAAGAACATATGTAACTTGAAAAGATGGGCAAATTACCATATACAAAGGTGCTTTTTCAAGAGGCAACTGTTTTTTTTTCTTCTGAAGATGTTTCACTTCTCATCCAAAAAGGATGGCATCTTGGATGAGAAGCAAAACATCTTCAAAAGAAAAAAAAAGTTGAGTTGCCTCCTGAAAAAGCATCTTTGGGAGAACCATGATATGGATGACTGACAATCTCTACAGACTATTACCATGTACAGTTAATATAGAACAACAAATATGGTTTCAGGAAAGCTCAGAATGAGCTGCAGTTGACAGAGGCTGAAAACAGCAGCAAAAGTACTATGTTCAAAATAAAAAGACTGGATGGCATAACCATGAAATTGCTAGATAGTTGGCTCAAGAATCATATAAAGACATCAGTGCAGGGGTGGGTTGCTGCCGGTCCACACCGGTTCTCGCGAACCGGTTGGTCACCGGACCCGGAAGTAAGCCTGCCTCGCCCCTAGCCCTGTATACCCGTCCTGGCCGGACAGTATTTTGTCTCTTCTGTCTCCCCGTTGCTCAGAAAAGCAACTTCGGGAAGGTCCTTTGATGGCGGCAGGCATCCTANTCCTTCCTTCCTTCCTTCCTTCCTTCCTTCCTTCCGGAACAGGGTCCAAAAGGTACGCTAAATTTCACGAACCGGTTCTAGCGTACCGGTGCGAACCGGGAGAAACCCATCCCTGCTACAGGGTATTACTGAGCTGTGAGTATTCTTTGTTCTTAAGAACTTCTTTGCTCGGTCTAGGTAGCTAAGTAGCAGAGCCCAGCCAACCTGGGCTGATCTCTGAAAGATAGGGGTGGTGGTGGATTTAGTTAGGAATTAGGTAGGAAACCACCAGGACATATCCAGGTTGTAGGCTAGATCAGAAGTTTAAAAATAATCTTGGAAGAAGATAGTGGCAATCCAAAGCACTCCAATCTGTCCAGGTGGTGATTACAAAGGGAGGTGTGTTTCAGCTCATCTGGAGGAAGACAGGTGGGACAAGGCTGGATTACCCTTTAACTGAAAACTCTACCCAGATAATATGTATTAATTAGACTCCGGGAACTGGGCCAATGGCTGCCAAATGAATCGCAAGCAGCAGGCTCTTTTTTGAAGATGGGAGTGGGTTACCTGCAGCTTCAGTGCCTTCAACTCAATTTTGCCTAACCTTCTTCTTCTGTGCTGCAGAATTTCAGCATTGCTTTTTGAAGTGGAATCTGTAATGCGTGCCGAACGACCTCAGCCTATCTACATGTGTAACGCAGCTCTTCACTATAAATCCTGAAAATTGCCATCTAGAAAGGGTGGGCCCTAATCAGAACATGAGTGCCCTTCTTTGTTGTAAGCATTATTCAATTTCACTTAGTTATTAAAATGATTTAATAGAATACTATAAACATGTTGCTCTACTGAGAAATAAACTTGTTCGGGGTGATTTATAGATTATAATAAACCTTGCTTATTTCCTAGCAAACCAACAAATGAAGATAGATTGGGTGTGAGTGTGGGAGTGGGTGTGGATGGGGTGGGAGGCAGCCAGCCCTGTTAGTCATTTCTCTTTTTCCTGTTCTACAAATAAATTTCCCAGTTTTATCTGAGTAAGTGAAATAGACGCACATAGATTTTTTAGAAATTATCACTTACGGTATGCTTTTGTTATTACTGTAAACGCATCCCTTCTTGGCTCCACAACATCATTCAGGCACTGAGTAAGATTATCGCACTGGGTACCATCTAACTACACTGAGCCAATTAAGTATATGTAACATGACAGAAACTCAAGATCCCAGGTTCAAACACAACAATTAATAGCTGCCCATGAAGAGCCGAGGTGGCGCAGTGGTTAGGGTGCAGTACTGCAAGCCACTTCAGCTGACTGTTATCTGCAGTTCAG